TATTTATGACTGTTATGCTGTCCCTAGATCATGTGATCACCTTTTGCAACTTTCTGACAAGCAAAGTCAGATGCACATAACCATGTTACTAACTTAATAACTGTAGTGATTCACTTAAAAACTATGGCATGAAAAATCGGGCAGAACTCATTTAACAGCTGTATTGCTTAGCAATGGAAATTTTGGTCTCAATTTTAGTTGTGAGTTGAGGACTACCTGTATAACACTTTTCCCTCTAAAAACAATCACCACATAGGAAACACGTGTGTTCATATTTCAACTAACTTCTCTGTTAATATTCATGATAAATGCCGTTTTGTAGGTATACACACATATCAAAATATATCCAAATATATTTCAGTACACCTGTTTGTAACAGATGTACACACCCTCCCCCAAAATACAATGTTTGTTTCAGAAATGCTCAGACTTTAGAGTCTTTCTCTCCATATACAGCTGTGCCTTGTATTGTTTGTTTTGGCATTACAACTTGGCTCAAGAATCAATTTTGTTGTCAAAAAGAAGAAGAAGAAGAAGCAAAGCCAAAATTTTGAAATGTCCAGTGCCAATATCCTCAATGCCCTAAGGGAGGCAATTGTTGCTTTCCCCCAAATTGTCACTCATTTGTAGTGTTGTATAGCTCAAAGGGAAATAGTTCCTGGGTATGTTCTTCAATAAAAGACCTCTGTATTCTTTTATATAAAGTACTTCGAAATAATGTTGCTAGTTGGACTAACATTGTGAATCCTTTACAACAGGATAGGAGAAGAGTGTATGGAGAACAAAGAACCAAGTCACCATGGGCTGGTTTGTCAGCATTCTTTCCAGAAAAATGTCTTTTGTCTTTTTCTGTCTCATGATATCTTTCCTCCTTTGCTCTCTTGTTCGCTCTCCTAACTGTCATAGCAACTCTCCTAAATATTTATCTGTGACAGATACTGGCTACAGGAGACATTCTTTCCTCTGTATTTTATGAAACACTGTCACAGAAGTAAAGGGTGCTTTGTCATCCATGTACTTTCTGCTACCTACACCTCACTAACTAACAAGGTTACCTCACAATTTTGGATTTTTCTGGTGGGCTGCCACAATTGATTGGTTTGCATAAAACTCAGAGGTTGTTTCACACACTCCCCCCCCCTTTTTTTCCCTTTTTTTCTGATAGGTCAGAAACCTGTTTTTTCAAGGGGAAAATCTTTTGTTTTTCTTTTCCAAGTTGAAGGCTGTTCACATTCTCACCGCAGCTGTGCCTTTTGTTACTTGAATATGATACTTTTCATTGTTCTGCTTGCAAATTCAAGTTTACTCATAAACTGAGCAGGAAATGGGACTAACGTGAACTGGTTCTTTCCCCCTTCCTCACAATGAACCAATGTTAAACGATACCAGCTTTCTGGCCATCTGACCATGTGCCATTTCTTTTTTATTTCCCATTGTAAAGTTTTGATATATAGGAGACTTTATTTTCAAATGGAAAATAAAGTATTTTTTCTTCCTTCTGGGCAACAAAACTGCAAAAGCTAAATAACGCTCTGAGTACGTCAGCAGTGTCTGGTGGGAATAGTGAAGAGTACATGGCAACTGGAAAAAGAGCTTCTAAATTGGCTTAGCTGTCCTGCCAATAAAAGCACTTTATTGCCACAAAAATAAGATTCATGAAAATAATATAGATTTATCTCCTAGTACATATATGAAATTGGAAGTACCTTCCTTTAAAAAAAAACTTGGTCTCAGAATCTGTACAATAAAAGTGAGCACACAGTCCCCATAATTGTTCTTAGATTACAGTGTGGGACAAATAGTACACATGAAAAGCCGGCAAAGAAAAATATTTGGCATTCCCCCTTCAAAGGTGAATAGAAGACCAAGAGTTTCAGATCTCTGTTTAGGTATTACCTTCACTTGTTCAGTCCAACAATGGAGAAGCAGTGAGGCACTGATGACCTACCTGCAGAAATGATCTCTAGGCTAAGAACACAATATCTACAGCAGGGAGCCTTTGTATACAGCAGGGAGCCTTCATATAAATTGCAAGACTTTACAATCAGGATTCCAGCTGTTGTGGAAATAATTGCACGCCTTGCTAGGCTTTTTGCTACAGACAACTGGACATGTTTCTGGATCTCCATCCAGAATTTGACCATATTTTTTTTAATTTACTGACAAATAAACCATAGTCTTCAAATAGATCTATAGTGTTGAGTAAACTACATGGACAGGTCCATGCCCTTTAAGAACTAAGTTCGATTCCAGAGAGACAATACTTTTAAACAAATTCCCCCCCAAAATCTAATCTATGTTTATTCTGCACTCAGTCACACAAGCCCTCGTCATCTCATATTTGGACTACCACAATGTGTTCTATATGGGGCTATCCTTGAAGAGTATTCAGAAGCTACAGCTAGTGCAGTATATAGCCACACAGACAGTTCTAGGGTCCCCTAGGATGGCCCATGTAACAAAGCTCTTTATAACATGGGTTCAAGCTACCTGAGGGACCATCTCATTCCAATGGGATTGTTCCACCCACTTGTTCCGGTAGAAAGGAATGCTTCAGACTCCATCGGTCAAGGAAGTCTTGCTGGTGGGCCTCCAGAAGAAGGGCCTTTTCTGCCATGGTTCCTGCCCTCTGAAAGAGACAGGTGTGCCCCCATTCTTTTGGCCTACCAAATGAGCCTCAAAACCTGTTTCTGCTGATTGGCCAGGCACCCTGAGACATTTCATGTTGGAGATAGCTAGTGCATTAGAAAGAAGATCTCACCTTCACCCCATTTTATTCTTATTTCAGCTAATTTCCATTAATTTTTAATGTTTTAATGTTTTGTATTTTTGCTTTTATGATGTTGTAAACTATCCAGAATCACTTGACAGTGAGATAGACAGTGGCATACAAAATTAGTAAACAAATACATTCTCATTGGAAAATAAAAGTTGTTGATCAAAATTCTTATGGTACAATTTTGGTCTTCTTTCTTACTTTGTGAGTTGGTTAGCAAGAGACGTATGATATAAATATGATATAAAATAGAGCAAGCCCTATATAAAGGAACATGTAATACATATTGGCATTAATGGGGATTCCTATTTGCTACATAATAATTACTCATTTAAATCTTTTGTATGTTTTTGTGAAATTCATTCAACTGTCTTAAAATTACATTTTGATATACAGTTTTTCAGATTTAGGCATCACTGTAAAAGAAAATATTCAGAAGCCTAGTTTCAAAGGATCTAATTAGACTCCAGGCAGCTCTGACAGAAGTTTTCTTAATTTGGACAGTCATATCAGTGAACGTATCAGAGATCTATAATAATGAAGCCTTGACAGAATAGATCCTAAGTTCTCCTATCCTGTGTCAGACCCTCAAATGTCCTATGGCACTGTAATGACTTCTCAGTTTTGACACAGAAGTGAATCCAACTGGACACAATAAAAACACCTTTATGCAGCCATGGTAGCCATATTGGATTCATTGGACTAAGTGGAATTACTCATCTTCTGGGTGCTTCCAAAATGTTACTCAAAACATTCTTTAGTAAGTACAGAACCTTTATATATTACACAATGTACTTGCTAGCAGAATTAATAATATATTGAATAAACTGTGTCTTATGTTTTACTTTATCAGTAAGTACTGATAGGTTTGAACCTTTTTTCTCCTCAGCGATATTTTGCCATGTCAAAACAACAACAACAAAAAAGGATGAGGCGAGAATATTTCTGTATTGTTCTCTGGATCATTATTTTATTATTTGGTAAACTTTAATAACAGTAAGAGTTTAAGAAATTAAAATTAGTTATTTCTATTGACATAGAAATTTATCCTAAAATATGATTGACATGGTCATTTATAAACAGTATTTCCAATAGAGCTGTCAACCAATTAAAGGCTTTTAGTTGATTAATGGCAATGTCTTTAACTGATCAATCAAATAACTAATTTAAATATACACTATGGTGCAGAGTCTTTAATTACTGAAATCAATGGGAAGGTTTCCACTGATATGAACAGAACTGGAGTATAAACCAGTGGAAGTAACATTTTCACAAAAAAGTCATATACATCCAATCAATTAGTTATCAACATTCTTATATTTCACCTGAAGATTAAAACTTCATTGTAATTAATTTTGCTGTCAATTAATGGATTGGATATTTCACCTCATAGTTTTCTCTTCCTCATTACTGTAATTAAAATGTATGTTTAAAGATGGAGTAAGCTCCATTCAGATGACCTTACTAATGCTTACTAATGAATCCTACCCCCTAAAGCAAGAGCATTCTAGTAGTTGAACCAATTACATAGAAAGGTAGTTGGCTCCTTTTCCCAAATGTACTGAAGTAAAAGTTGTGATCTATCTGAGATGCTTCAATCTGGCCTTCTGCCCAAACTAGGGAGTTGGAATCAGTTAACTCAAAGGGTCCTCCCAACCTTGGAATTCTATGCAATGTTGACTTCCACAGCAAAGTGGTCTCTGGCTATATAACTCAACTCAATATTATTATTTCTTTACATTTATTCACATATAGAACAGTAGATGAAGACAACCTCCCAACATATCTGGAGGTGACAGATGACTATATTCCCCGTATCTTAAACAAAATGACCTTCTCACAGTACCTGTTCATCCACTGTATCTAGAGCACAATAAGAAAAAAGGAACTTACAGAAATGAATGTTATTTGCTTATAAAACCTGATTATATCACTCTACTCAACAGAATTTTTAAGTCTATATGGATCAGCAGAGGTAACATATGAATTGAACCTAGGACAGCTTGGTAAGAACAGTTGCAGTAGCCTCCAAGTAACAAACCAGTAAGTGCATATTGTATGATACCATTTTAAAATCAGGCTTTATGCTTGCCCACAACACAGAAATCTATTCTTCAAATGCAGACAGAGGGGATTAGCTGCAGTATTATTTAAGATATTCATCCTTAAAGTGATGAAAGATAACAGAGCTCATCCGTTTAATCTATTTGTTTCAATAACTCACCCTCTGCATCTTCTGGCCTTGTAAGATCAATGACTCCTGGACCTAGCTTTCCATCTTCACAGGGCTTCCCTGATAGATGTGGGCCTAAATTCTCAAAGCGTGTTCTCTCCTGCCCAAAAAAAAAAAAAAAAAAAGGACAATATTCAGTTTTCTTAAAAAAAAAATTGTGTTCACATATGTTTAATTTCCAGCACTTCCTTGACCTCTGCTTCGGCATGCATCTTGCCAAATACAAGCTTAGGTATTTTGTACTACAGTTTATTGTCTAACACTGTCGTTCACATGGATGCATACATTACAAACAAAAGAGAAACAGAGAAATAGAGTAGTTGAACTACAGCCATCACTTTACATTCTACAATAAATTCAAATTCTACCTTGAATCCAGCGATATGATGTCCAGATAATGGAGGTTTGCAAGAACTAACAAAAGACACTGGGTAACATATACCATAGTAACATAAAGTAAGACCAAATAAAAGGTGTTATATAGAGCTGTGGGCTTAATAATCTCATCCAAGGTTCTTGCACTGTTAGGAGCCCTTCGGGGGGGGGGGGGAGCCCTTATGTGTGGAAGACATCTTTATCAGAGGTATCATGACAAATACTATTAAAGGTGGAGCTTTGATTGCATGTTGTTATTCATTATCTTGACTTCATTGCCCTCCCCCCAGCAGACACCCTGTAACATTGGATTCATCCCTCTAAATTTAAAAATTATGCTAAAAGGAAAAAAGAAACAACTATTGCCAGATAATGAAAGTGCAGCTTTTAACAACCCATTCAGTTCAAATGAGTGCAGGATAGGGAAGTATTATTGTAATTTAAACAGGATTAAAACTGAAATTTCAGATATCACTGCCAAGCAATAGTGAATAACTGACCTTTCTTAAGTGACTTGCTTTTCAGAAATAGTTAAGTTCAGGACTTGGAGAGGACTTTCTATTAAAACTTGCTACTAATTCAGTGGGAAAAAAAATAATAGTCACACAATCAACATCCCAGTCCTAGGGATCTGAATTTGCAGAAGCACCCTTGAGAAATACAAGCATGAATTTTATGCAAGAGGATTTCAAAGACAAGTATTTCAAAAAAGGAATACTAGATGACAGAAATAGTACTATATATTTTGCCTAGGAATTTGAGCTAAACCTCAATGGGATTGAAAAAAAAAAGCTATGAGTAAAAAGATATGAGTGTTTCTTCCTTGAAAAAAATAAAACTTGAGTGCTGAAAATATATATGGTAAAACTGCACCACTAAAAACAATAATCAATATATAAATTGATGTCAACCAGGGTTTCCTCATACCGGAGAGCAAAAACTCTCATATGGCAACATTATATTTTCTCACTTTTTGTAACTATTATATATTATGCAAAAACACAGTAGAGTTTCCTTACGCCTTTGAGGTACTTCTCAAACTTGAACGTGGCATTGTGTTTGAATGTCATATCATCACAGAGATGAAATATCAGTTTTTGGTTTTGTTTACAAGATATATTTGTTAAACCTCACATATTACCCAGCAAAACAGTGCTGATTGCTCTTCTCTCCGTTGTTTGAGGAGCTAATATTGCATTGAGCATCTTAGATACTGGAAAGAAAATAAGTTTTTCATAGGCACAAAAAGCAGCTAAGCATGATGTTGCTGTTAAAAAGCCAAGAACACACTTAACTTCCAGAACAACAGAGTCATTTACTCAACTATCTTAATACTGATTCTGTTTATTAATAAGTGCTCTGTAATCAATTTGTAAGCATTGATAGATTACTAAACAAGTATTTTCATCATCATCATATCATCACCATTATCACACCTTTTTATACTATATATAACTCATGGTGGCAAACATACCCAATCCTCTTGCCTGCTACTTTTCCCACAACAACAAAAACCCTGTGAGATTTGTTGGGTTGAGGGATTGTGACTGGCCCAAAGTCCTCAGCTGGCTTTTATGCATAAGGCAAGACTAGAATTCACAGTCTTCTGGTTTCTAGCTTTGCACCTTAACTGGTGTACTTATTCATTCTCTCTCTCTCTCTCTCTCATACACACACACACACACATCAATGGTGATTTATCAGTGGTAGAATAGGGCAAGATGCATCATGCAGAGTTGCTCACAGCTCATCCTGACAAGAGTTATCTGAATCTGTGTATGTTCCAAGGAAAGCAAATGCTGGCTGTCCCATATCTCTTTTTCAGGACTCATAACTAACCACAGTCTCACCAAGCCTGCCAAAATGTGTGATCCTTTCACGTATGCAGCATCCCATGGCTTCTGCTCTCCTCAGCCAAAGCAGAATCCCTGCGCTGTAATATGCATATTCCATTTCAAAGTACAAATCAGATTATTGACCAGCAAAGCAATGATTAAAACCCAATGGCTGTCAACCAGTCCCTTAAAAGTTCCACCTCTCTTCTCTCCCCATCAGTTCTCCAGAGATCTTTCTATTTTTTGGGTGAACACTGCATCATTTCAGGACCACTGAAGCCTTTTTTATATCTTCCTCGAAGAAAGGAAGATAACTATCCCTTATCTGTTTCAAAAAAAGAAAAAGAAAGAAAAGGGAATGGACGATAAATTCCCAGGATATCAGGAACAGGCTTATTTTCTCTTTCTCTGCCTATTTCTATATTTCTGCAAGAGCTCAGCCAGGAGTTCCTCATTTTAAAACTCTCTTTTTTTTCTTTTCTTTTCTTTTCTTTTTTTTAGAATGGAGCAGTACAGTGCTAAACACCTTGCCTCTCAATAAATGCTGGCATTTTGGGGGATGAATTGCATTTGCATTACTCCCAGTTTGACTCATTAGTGGACTGACCAGGTGGCTTTATTAGCCGGGATGGATGAGTTTTTGACAAACTGGGAGCAGAAGGTTTTCTAATCAGAAAGCCCAGAGCAATTGACATGCAACCCTGGCAAATGCTGCTTGATCAGATGTCCCAACTTACTTTTGTTGCTTATTCCTCAGAGACTTTGGAAACCCTATGCATGCTCAATACCACATCAACACAATCTCCTTTTTGCCATCCCCTCTATTTATCTATTCTCCCACTTTACACCCAAGAGTCTTAGACCTGCCCTACTTACTAAGACAGGAATCTTTCCACAAAATGTCCTAACAAGGTACCTGAGTTTTTCCTGGTAAAAGAACTTCAGTTTGATTAAAATGAAGAAAAAAAAATGCATTCTACTTTAAAAAAAGAAATCAACAGAACCTTCTCTGTATCATAGTATGCATATTTGAAGTATCTTTCTAGTCATTCATTCTCTTTGATTCTCTCCAGAAAATATTCTGTGTTAAAAAAGAAAGTTTCTGAAAGAATATCAATATTTTGACATTCAGAAAGGAAAGGAAAAATTACATGATAAAGCACAGAACTGTAAGAAAGAGAAACTTGCATGATAATAACTAAAAGAATCAGGGTGTATTTATAATTCTTTAATAATCATCAATGTGCCATTTTTGAAGGGGAAATTACTACAATAATTCTCTGTATTTTTATTTTTGTAGATGTCAGTATTCATTTTTCCACTTAAAAACAATAGCAGCTATTTTATAGCTTTTCTATTTTATAGAAAAGAAATAAAAAAATATTTCAATATTACTATTAGTGGTATGTACAAATATATGTGAATTTCTGAGGCAAGACAATTTAGGTAAATAATAGCACTTTAAACTGAGCTAAATTAAGCAAATTATTTTAAATGAACACAACCAGCAGACTATCCATCTACATATCAAATATATCCTAGAAAAAAATGTAGTTATCGTATTGTCCACACAGATTCTATATTACTTTCTAGGTATAAAGGCCGTAAAAATAAAGTAAAAGTAAAGTAAAAGTAAAATAAAATGTCCTGGGTTATATAAAGGTACACATGGATAAATATGACATGGCTTCCAACTTTGTGTGTTTTACAAAAGTCATATTTCATGCCCATGTATTCTACTGTGTATTCTATGGACTTTTTTATTCATTATAATATAACATACTTCTCAAAGCTCTGAGCATGTTCTGTGAGTGAAAAAAAAAACCACATTCTATGAATCCTCTACAGACACAGAGCTCATAGAACTGAATTCAACTTAGAATGTGATTACTTGGAAACTAAGAGAACTAAAGCTTGTAGGTTTCACAATCTCTTTCAAATTATAAGCAAGATTCTGAAGTAAAGGGTCCTTGGTGCTCTCTGAGCTTGATTGTTTTCTTGTAGATGTTTCATTACACCAACTAGGTAGACTGCTAGACTGATGATGTTACCTAGTATAGATAATGAAACATCTGCAAGAAAACAAGCAAGCTCAGAGAGCACCAAGGACCCCTCATTTCAACCCTGAGCTACCAACATTCTCCTTTAATAGAGTCTGACGTACACTGAAAAGCAGGACCCCTGAGCTATAAATATTCTCCTTTATTTGTACTACATAGGGGTGCCAAACACTTGAGAAAGCATGGCAATGGGAGAAACTTTCCCACAGGCACACTTCCACCACTAGCAATGATTATGTTACCTAGTTTGGGTAGTGAAACATCTGCAAGAAAACAATCAAGCTCAGAGAGCACCAAGGACTCCTCATTTCAACCCTGAGCTATCAACATTCTCCTTTATTAGAGTCTGAAGTACACTGAAAAGCAGGAACTGTTATTGCTGAAGTGGACTGATAGCTAATTTGTTTTTCTAAGAACAGAATCTTCATTTTCCATTCAGTGACACGATTAGGCACTTATTATGCATTATCAGGCACAAGCACGTAGGCAGCATAAAATGTATGGGAGGGAAATTTTTGCTTTGCTGTGTTCTAGAACTCTTGGTTAAGTGCTTTGAAATGATGATATATGGGCTAGGTGTTGCATTGTAAAAAAGATATTTAAATGATAAAGCCCCCCCCCTTAGTGAGCATTGATAAATGATAAATGTTCCAGACTACAAAGCTGCGCCATCCATCATATTCACAGGTTATCACAGTCAATGATGGAGCAACCTGAGTAATGACAGATGGACTATGAGATTATTATCCCCCTGATTTTCAGCCACCAAATAACTCAACTCTCCAACATTTTTTTTCCCGCTTTGCATTCCATTAGTAACTTTATCTATA